AGTTTTATGTAGAGGCGTATACATCGGCTACGCTGCATTCTCTGCTGTTGTGTGTTTTGGGTGTAATACGCGAAACCCTAAACACGCAGATGCCTCACGTTGTGCAGTCATCTGACACAAAGTGTGAAATAAAGGGCAGCTAACAAACAGAACGGAGTGTACGTACACATGCGTGTCAATGGGTGTGTTCTAGTAGCCGCTTGAACTGAGCGTATGGGCGGTATATGCGTGTATATGCGTTTGCAGAGCTTTCGCTGTGGTGGCGTCGGCGTTGGGGGTGCCGTCTCTGCTGCTGTTTTTGAAGGCTGTTTGTCAGAGCAAGAAGTCGTGGCAGGCCCGTCACACGGGTATAAAGATAATTCAGCAGATAGCGATTCTGTTGGGTTGTGGCGTGTTGCCTCATTTGCGTCAGTTTGTTGAAATCATTCAACACGGCCTGGATGACCCTGTGTTAAAGATAAAAACTGTCACTGCTTTGGCGTTGGCAGCGTTGGCTGAGGCTGCTGCCCCTTATGGTATCGAAGCTTTCGATTGCGTGCTACGTCCTCTGTGGAAGGGGATAGGTGAAATAAAGGGGAAAAGTTTAGCAGCGTATTTGAAAGCCATTGGGTCTATTATACCCCTTATGGATGCCTACCACGCCAGCTACTATACGCGGGAAGTTATGGTGATGCTTGTGCGCGAGTTCGAAACAAATGACGAAGAAATGAAAAAGATNACTATACGCGGGAAGTTATGGTGATGCTTGTGCGCGAGTTCGAAACAAATGACGAAGAAATGAAAAAGATAGTCTTGAGAGTGGTCAAGCAGTGTGTAGCGACAGAAGGTGTAGAGGGTGAATACATCCGCACAGATATCATTCCCCCGTTCTTCTCAAAGATGTGGCTCGTTAGAAACGCCTTAGATCGCCGTACAGCCAAATTGCTGACAGAAACAGCAACTGAGTTGGCGTCAAAGGCTGGGGGGGCACATGTGATTAAGTTTATTGTTGATGATCTGAAAGACCCCAGCGAGCCGTTTAGAAGAGTTACACTGGAAACGATTGAGCAGATAATTGTGAACGGCGGTGTTGCAGACATCGATGGTAGACTGGAAGAGCAGTTGATTGATGGGCTGTTATACGCGTTTCAAGAGCAAACCACTGAGGAAACTGTGGTGCTGTTAAACGGATTTTCAACAATTGTGAACGCCCTGGGCACCCGTGTAAAGCCCTATCTGCCTCAGATTTGTGGTGTTATTCGTTGGAGGCTGAACACTCCATCAGCGAAACTGCGGCAACAGGCAGCAGATCTGGTGTCACGCATTGCCACTGTTATGTTCAAGAGCGGTGAGGAGCAGATGTTGGGGCACTTGGGTTTGTTCTTGTACGAATACTTAGGGGAGGAGTACCCAGATGTGTTGGGAAGCATTCTTTGCGCCCTAAAAGCCATCGTGAATGTTATTGGAATGAATAAAATGACGCCTCCTATCAAGGACTTGCTGCCGCGTCTGACGCCGATTCTCAAGAACAGACATGAGAAAGTACAGGAGAACCTTATTGACCTCATTGGTCGTATTGCAGATCGTGGAGGCGACTTGGTTTCGCCGAAGGAATGGGACAGAATTTGTTTTGATCTTTTAGATTTACTGCGGGCACAGAAAAAGAGTATTCGAAGAGCCACTGTGAACACCTTCGGGTATATCGCCAGAACAATCGGGCCTCAGGACGTGCTGGCCACTCTCCTCAACAATTTGAAAATGCAAGAACGCCAGCTGCGTCTTTGCACGACTATTGCCATTGCTATTGTGGCAGAAACTTGTCTGCCGTATTCCGTGTTGCCTGCACTTATCAACGAATACCGTGTGCCTGAACTTAACATTCAAAACGGTGTGCTGAAGACTCTTAGCTTCATGTTTGAATACATTGGCGAAATGGCCAAAGACTACATCTATACGGTCACGCCCTTGCTAGAAGATGCTCTCATGGACAGAGATCTTGTGCACAGACAAACGGCAGCTTGGGCGTGCAAGCACCTTGCATTAGGTCAGTTTCTCCTCATCGCAACTCTACCTTTCTGTTTTTGTTATTCACATTTGCACTCGAAGCTGTTAGCAACTGTAGCAACAAACTAGCATCTGTCATTTATAACTGTACTTCCGGGTGGTGATGACGGGAAGGAACATATCAAGTTGGTTGCGTGTGCTGGGCTTTCCTCAGGAGTGCACGGACTGAGCTGCGAAGATGCGCTGACTCACTTGTTTAACTATGTGTGGCCAAACATATTCGAAGTTTCGGCACATATGGTTCAAGTGAGC